ACCGGGAAGGGCCGTGTTCGAGGACTCGTTGGGTCAACTCGAATTTCAGGTTATTTTTGTCCAAAAATTGGGCTCTCTCTCTCTCTCTCTCTAGTGAATATGCAGTCCAAGAACGGGTCGGTTTCAGGTCCATAATATCTGGACCCGAGACCCGACGGGTCTACCCGGCGGGGGGGCTCGAGGACCCGTTGGGTCAACCCGAATTTCAGGTTATTTTTGTCCAAAAATTGGGCATTGGGGGATTCGAACTAGGGTAAATGGGCAGATTTGGGCAACTATAACCACTGGGGCAACGAACATATTTGATTAAATTTAGACAAGAAATATATATAATATAAAATGCTAGTGTAAAATGATAAATATGTTAAATAAATTATTAATTTTCATATTAATTATTATTAAATAATTTTAATTAAATTATTAACAAATGCAATATAAGAAACTTTTAAAAATATATATAGAATCACGATTCAATACTTCAACACATCTATTATTAGTTACTATATCAATATAATCTACACTATTGAAAAATATAAACTATTGAATCAATTCAATATACAAACAAACGCGTTGACTTAATACAAACTCACTTATGTTATTACAATCGATAGTGTGAAAAATTCAAATGAAAAACAAAATAAGATGTTTATTTAAAAAAATAGATTATAACTCATTTCAATTAATTTAAATTGATTAATCTCAATTGTTGACAAGAACTTAGTAAAATCATTGATTATTTTATCATAAGATAATTATTTATAAATATAGATGATGTTTATTTTAACAAAACTAGATTATATCTCATTCTAATTATTTTTTTACTGTAAAAATAAAATTATAAATAACGAGTATAATCAAAATATTATGCTGTGATTTCTCTTTTAATAATTGGTTTAATTTATAAAAATCGTAAGAATATATTAAATCGTAGGTCATATGATTTGATCATTTTTTTTACATTTATATTTTATTCAAATATTAGAATCGAATCGTAAGATTTAAATGAATTAAGCTCAAGTCCTTTCAATTTCTTTTATTTTTTTATTATATTATATTTGTTAATAATTTAATAAAAAATATTTAATAATAATGAATATGATAATTAATAATCTATTTAAGATTACTTATTATAATCATTTTACACCTTTTGTTTATGTTATATATATTCCTTGTTATAATAATCCTAACTATAAATATATAAATATAAATAACACTGTAAAATGATTATAATAATTGTATAACTTATGTTTTATAAATTATTAATTGTCATGTTGACTATTATTAATATCAAAAATCTCGACTAATAACAAATGCATATATATTTAATTTTGAAAAATATAAAAAAATACGATTTAATTTAAAAGAAAGAATGGCTGTGTTTGGTACCCTTTTGGGGTAAGTTTTCCAAAACATTTCGGGAAAAGATGCTTTGGGAGAAGAATTTGAAAATAAAAGTATGTTTGTGTATATTTTGGAAGGAGACAATTTACACTGTAGCAATCAAATCATTGTCTGAAATTGTTAAATTAAAGTAGAATAATGATTAAGTTATGATTATTTTGACCTATTTAAATGATTGAATGATTTTTGTATTATTGTATATATAATGGATGGTATTTATAAGAATAATAAAATATTCTTAATTATTTGATAATACTATTGTTATATATTCATTCTTTTGGAACCACAATAATGATCATGCACTGTTATCATTATATGTAATTTTTTTCTGTATGTCTTTAATTATCTATAATTGCAACATGATAAATTATCATAATTGAAACATTATAGTAACATATAGTCAACATACTAATGAAAATCGAAAAAATATATAATAATAACGAAATGATAATCATGATCATAAGTTTTAGAAATACAAACATAAATGAATCGTACAAACAAAAAACATCTTAATAAGATTAACCAGACAAACTATAAGCATATTTAGACTTTTTTTTGGCCAAATTGTTTTTTATGAATAAAATGGGGCCTCGTTAAAACCTTATTTGGCCAAACAAGGAAAGAGTACCCCTTATGTTTAATGATCAAGAAGCTGAATATTGTTCCCACAAGGAATGTGCAATTCCATCCCTAAATAGCGCTTGAGCTTGAACCATAGCTTGGCTTGGATGACCTTTGTGGTAGAATGTATCCACATCTACGTCTTCCGGTTCAAGTTCCTTGTTGAAAATTTCATCATCGCGACTGAACTTTCGGATATAGTTGTGTAAGACACAACAAGCAATGACCATTTGCACTTGCCTATGAATCCTGTAGCTTGGCATTCCCCATGCCAGAATTGGAAAGCGCTTCTTCAAAATGCCGAAACATCGTTCAATACAATTCCTTAAGCGTGCATGTGTATAATTAAAGATCTCGTTTGGTCCGGTCATTGCTCGAGTACCTCTATTAAATTCTTCTATATGGCGCCTACAACCTCTATACGGCGCAAGGAAACACATGTAGTTCGTATAACCAGCATCAACAAGATAATATTTCCTGTGACACTTTAGACTTAGTATATATTTAAATTTCAATATAATATAAATGACACTATATTGAAAATAAATAAGTACCATGTGGTGGAAAAGGAAACTTTGGATCATTAGCAATGGCATTACGAAGTACCAAAGCATCATTAACACTTCCCTCCCATCCGGCATACACGTATGTAAACATAAGATCAAAATCATATATTGCAAGGACATTCTGCGACACATGTGACTTTCTTGATCTATATGCATTGCGTCTAGAGGCAGGAACCCATGCTGGAACTAATGTTCCATCAATTGCACCAATGGCATTCTATTAAGTATGTATTTAAGGCTTAAATAATCAGTATAATAATTTAATTGAAAAATTAATTCATATCTATATGGAGTAAGAGTAACTTACCTCGAAGAACGCAAAGTCCGGCTCCTCCGCAATTTTTGGATGTATTTCGTTGAAGTTTGGAGGAGTTATCACCTCAATTGCCAATAAGTTTAATGCCTTAATCACTCTGCGAATATGACGATTTATTGTTTCTAATGAATGTTGAAATCGCTCCATGCTATCTCGTTGTCGATGATGCATTCCAACAGTACGCAAAAATAAGGCCAACTCTTCCATAACAGATACTCGAGCGTATTTCGATTGTGTTAAGTAGCCTCGACTTGTTAATGTGTGCAGCAAAGACATGAAAGTTGGTTTGTTCATTCGAAAATTATCATAAAACCTTCCATCATGGCCGTGAAGTATCTCACCTACCCAATCATTTCCACGAAGCATAGACGTATTACGAGGAACCCGAATAGGAAAAAAATACGGTATCACGACTTCCATTATCAACTTATATATTTGAGATTCATTACTTGATTCTTCATATGAATTATTTGTTGGACTTCGTGGGCTACCTGGGCTACCTTCACTCCCAGAAGACATTTTCCTACATAAAAGAATTTTTAAAAGTCGTAAACATAATGATAAATTTGAAGACAACCATGAATAATTCATAAATGTTCGAACATAAAAAAATAATGAATTAAAATAGGAAACACTGTTAGAAATAGATAATTAAAAATACGCATACAAACTGATAATTAAAACAATACTTGAAAAATTGTTCAATCGACCCTAATAAAAAAATCTTAAACCCAACAGCCCGCACCCATAAAAAACCTCTTAAACCCAGCAGCCCTGCACCCATCACCCCTGCAAAGTACTCAGCCAAACCAGTCTATCATCATCATCCATGGTCAGAAACAAACTCCTCATGGTCGCGCTTTTAATTTCGGTTAATGCTTTCATACGAAGCGATGAATCTGAACCAGTCAGCCTCTTTATGATGCGATAACATTCATTCATTTGGTCATTACAATTAACCTGCCAGCTGTTCTGCTTAGCCTCCATCATTTCCAACAATTTGCTGCATCACTGTGGTCATGGACTCTGTCTTGTTAACTTTACCCTTATTGCAGGGCTCGTATTGCTTGTTGCTACGGTTACTTGGTCCACAATCCTGGTCTGAAGTAGCCATAAACTCAGTGCTAGCCCTTTTGCCACCAGAAACCTGTTTTATAGAACCTCTAACAGTCTCATCATCATCACTGTCAAGAGGCCCCTGACATCCAGACCTTGCATGTGAACCTGTTGCATAAGTTCTGTAGAACATCTCGGTGCAATTATCGTAACGGGGGATTCCACTATTAAGCATTCTAGCATACTCCTTGTTTCCCTATTCAATAAACAAACTTATATATTACAAGGTAGTCCATCGAAAACTGAGATTATAAACTGAAAATAACTAAACTGCACACTTACATCAATCACTGCGGCAATCCTTTCCGGTTCACCGGTAATCTTTTTTGTATGTTCATCAATCCCATATCCAGTTTCTGTGTTCAACAATTTATAATACAGTTTCCATAGTGACCTTATTCTTGTGAATTTTTCTCTACACTGTTTGACAGTGTACTGAAATTGATGATTAGTGGACTCGTTCAACTGACCAGCAATTATACCCCAGATTACCCCCGAAAAAGTTGAGTTCTGTAAATGCCCTTGCAAGTAATAGTCATAGCTATGTTGAATTAAAAATTCCTCATTAGCAAATGGCCATTGAGCATTTTCAGACAGAGTTTGTTTCTGACTACTTACACCTCTACGCATCTAAATTAGAGAATCAAATAAAAGTCAGTTATACAGAATTGTAAGAATATATAACAGTCAAATAAAATAGGTGATACTTGGATAATGGTGAAATAATTGACTATTAATTAGTCAAATATGAAGTACCACATTATTTTCCAATTGATGTTATGGGTTGTCACTGTTATGTACCTCCAAGGCAGTTTTGAAGGAACAAAATTTGCAAATAATGTATGAAATACGGGGTAGGTCATAATCATCCTCTCATGGATATCATCATAAAATATACAACAAAATAATGGAATATGTTTCCTGAAATTTCAGGAACTTCACAGAAGAGGCAAAAAACAACACATTAACAGAGAATATAAACATAAATAGAGCATAATATAAAATCATATTTAAAAAATATTTATTTTCTCAAAATCAAAGGCATCTTAAAAAAAATTCATGCAGATCTGGAAGAATTAATGTGTAATATACTAGATCTAAAACAAATAAGTTTCGAACAGTTCATACTGGATCGAAGAAGAAAACCTGTAAAAATTAATTCATGCTTCTATATAAAGTTTAAACAAAGAACCCAATATCGATTTGTTCATAAAAACATAAAAAACCTCAATTTGCGTAACCAACTGAAGAACCATTACCTGTAGCTTCCTTTTCTTTGAAAACTGAAACGGTGGTAAACTACTATCAACATGAGAAAAATGGTCGTCGGACGCCGATTTGGAGTTGGAATGAACGTGCAAAGGTGTTTTACATGGAGATGAAGACATATAATCCACAGCAAATGCAATTTATAAGCAAGTAAATGAGAATAAACACATATATAATAAAATACAATCTTCAATCCCTTACACCATATCTAGCCTTTTCAGAAAGGAACAGTGACGACCCAGTAGACTTTCAAAAAGACCACAACAGAGAATAGTAAGTTAATTGAAGAATCGGATTCCTTCTTCAATACGATAATTGATTTGATCAGAGAATCGGGATGTGGGTAGAGACGAATATGGTTGCCGACAGAGAGAGAAAGGAGATGAAGAACCCTAACTAAGAAAATAAATGTAGAGAGAGAGTGAGTTGGGGAGAGGAGAGAGAGTGAGAAAATTCAATTACAAAGAAAAAGTTGGGGGACAAAGTCAGAGAACCGAGTGCACATATCGAGAGAAAATTGGAATTAATTTTCCCGAAAGAACTAGTATTTCACCCGTGCGTTGCACGGAGGTGAGTTTCAAAATGAGAAAAATAAACTTATGTAAACGACTATCTCTTTATCACAATACCAATTCAAGTAAAATAAAATGGAAGGAAATAAAAAACATAAACTTTATCTCTTAATTTAGAGTTGTAACATATGAAATTAAGTTAAATATTACAAATAAGAAAAACATGAGGCGCGCAAAGCCAATATTAAGATTAAGTAAATCATTTAAAACATATGCTATAACTCTATTTCTTGGATTGCAATCTACTACACTATGTGAGTCTTCTGCAAAATAACTAAGGTAACAACAAACACGGTAGCGGAGAAGTAACACAATAGATATTCAAATAACCAGCAAGTTTATCACTAATGGCGTTCAATTAGTAATGCACATTACTCAAACAACAATAAAACTTATAAATATTGCAAAAGAGATATGATGTATACACCACTACCAGTACTGATACCAATATTGATACCAATACGGATACCAATACTAATACCAATATTGTTACCAATAGTGATACTAATTCAATTAATACTGGTACTCATACTAATACTGATACTGATACTAATACTAATACTAATACTAATACTAATATTAATACTAATACTAATACTAATACTAATACTAATACTAATACTAATACTAATACTAATACTAATACTAATACTAATACTAATACTAATACTAATACTAATACTAATACTAATACTAATACTAATACTAATACTAATACTAATACTAATACTAATACTAATACTAATACTAATATTAATACTAATGTTAATACTAATAGTGGTACTAATACTAATATTGGTTCTAATACTGGTACTAATATATACTAATACTAATACTAATACTAATACTGATACTAATGCTAATACTAATACTAATACTAATACTAATGCTAATACTAATACTAATACTAATACTAATACTAATATTAATATTGATACTAATATTGATACTAATACAAATATTAATACTAATACTGGTAATAATAATAATACTGATACTAATACTAATACACATACACGTACCAATACTAATACTAATACTAATAATAAAACTAATACTAATACTAATATTGATATTGATAATAATACTAATACTAAGAATAAGAATAATATTGATAGTAATACTAATAATAATATTGATACTTACATTGATAATGATAGTTATATTGATACTAATACTAATACTAATACTAATACTAATACTAATACTAATACTAATACTAATACTAATACTAATACTAAGACTGCTATTGATACTAATACTAATAATAATATTGATACTTATAGTGATACGAATAGTGATATTGATACCAATAGTAATACTCATACTAATTATTAAGACTAATACTGATACTAATAACAATAATAATTTTGATATTGATACTAATACTTATACTCATACTGATACTCATAGTAATATTATATTAATACTAATATTAATACTGATACTGATATTGACACTAATATTGATACTCATAGCAATATTAATATACTTATACTAATACTAATACTAATATTGATATTGATACTGATACTAATATCGATACTCATACTGATACTCATAGTAATATTAATACTAATATTGATACTCATATTGATACTCATATTAATACTCATACTCATACTTATACTCACAATCATACTGATACTCATACTAATACTGATACTAATATTGATATTGATATTGATACTGATACTGATACTGATAATGATACTAATATCGATATTGATACTGATATTTACTTGATACTGATACTCATACCGATACTGATACTTATATTGATACAAATGATGATACTGATACTGATACTCATACTCATACTCATACTGATACTGATACTGATATTGATACAAATGTTGATACTGATACTGATGCTAATACTGATACTGATACGGATACGAATACTGAGACTGAGACTGAGACTGATACTGATACTGATACTGATATTGATACTGATAATGATACTGATATTGATATTGATATTGATACTGATACCGATACCAATACCGATACTGATGCCGATACTAATGCCGATACTGATAATGATACCGATACTGATATTGATATTAATACTGATATTTAGACTAATATTAATATTAATATTAATACTAATATTGATATTAATACTAAAACTAATATTTTAATACTAATACTAAAAACTAATATTAATACTAATACTAGTTATTAATCCTAATATTAATACTAATACTAATACTAATATTAATACTATTTCTAATACTAATATGTTAATATTGTTAATGATAATGCTAATGTACATATTCTAATGCTAATACTAATTTTAATGTTAATGTTAATCGGGATATGTCGCTTATGATGATTATAATTGTAATACTAATATAATCCAAATCCTTATCTTATTCCTAATCCTATTCATAATACTAATCATGATTCTAATCCTAAACCTATTTCTAACATTAATTATAATCCTAATAATTTTACTACTAATAATACTTATGCTATGCTAATGTTAATTCTAACTATAATTCTAACCATATTAATCCTAATTTTAATGCTAATCATAACCATAAAACTAATACATGTCACTAATTGTAGTACAAATCAATAATCATAATCTTAATTATAATTCTAATAATAATATTAATCATAATCCTAATATTAATTATAATACTATATTAATCCGAATCCTAATCCTAGTATTAATACTAATACTAATTCAAAGAATATTAATTATAATCATAATTCTAATGCTAATACTAATCACAATCCTAATTATAATTTTGCATCAATGTTTTTGCAATTATCTATTATTTTGTATCAAAAAAAAAAAAAATTTCTATTCAATCTCGCAACTTTTATATCAAATTCCTTATGTGTGGTACCTGAAACATCAAGAAAAACATATTAAATATATTAGAAATTAATATTTAATTATATTATCAAACTGACATTAATATTATTTAAAATAATATAAGGGTTTAAGCAAACGTTAAGACGTAATAACGATAATCGTTGTTAATAGGATAAATTACGAAAATCCTCATGAACTAAGGCTAAATTACGGAAATCAACCCCACCTATCGGTAATTACCAAAACCCCCCAGATGTTTGTTTATGTTTTACACGACCCCCTTATAGTGTGATTTTTTACGGAATGTTTTTTATTCCACGTAATATCCCAAAAATTGTGGATTCTACCCTTGATGACATGACATTTCTTTTATCTTACTTTTTAAATACAAAAATTACCCTTAGCGGAGGTATAGTAATACTAAAAAGTTGTGAAAAAAGTTATTTAAGAAGAATAAATATTTCGTGTAAAGTCCCCCTCAGGGTAATTTTTGTCTTTAAAAAGTACCATAAACAAATGTCGCGTGCATGGTAGAATCCGCATTTTTTGGGGAATATTCCATGTAATAAAAAAAAATCCGTGAAAAATCATACCGTAAGGGGGTCGATGTAAGACGAAAACAAACTTCAGGGAGATTTTGGTAATTACGAATATAATATTAATTAGTAAAAAAGATAAATGTATAATATCAAATGATTTATTCTGCAATATTTTTTTTATATAAATCCAAGTTTATGAATTAAAATACAAAATTTTCGTAACACCGTCAATCATACAATTATAATAAGTGAAGATTTTAAATAGAATTTAAATAAATTTAAATTAAATTAATTACTATTAAAATTAAATAAAAAAATAAAAACTATTCAGAGTTTCCAAGAAAGTTGATATACTTAGTGCATTTTATATATGGTATGATATAAATATATAATAAAATAATTAAATATCTTTTTAATTTGGAAAATGGTGACATGGTTTTTGATGATTTATTTTCACCAATCAATTTGCCACGTGGGATGAAATTGAATACATGTCACCAATTGAAATTGACAAATGTCAATCAATTAGGTGTGGAATTCAACTTTTATATATTATATAGATTATATTATCAAACTGACATTAAAATTATTTAAAATAATATAAGGGTATAAGCAAACGTTAAGACGTGAAAATAACGATAATCGTTGTTAATAGGATAAATTACGAAAATCCTCATGAACTTAGGCTAAATTACGGAAATCACCCACACTTATCGGTAATTACCATAATCCCCCAGATGCTTGTTTATGTCTTACACGACCCCCTTATGGTGTGATTTTTTACGGAATCTTTTTTATTCCACGTAATATCCCAAAAATTTTGGATTCTATCCTTGCAAACATGACATATCTTTTATCTTACTTTTTAAATGCAAAAATTAC